CAGACAGCCTATTGGAATTTGTGATGTCATTCGCTGCCTGGGAGAGAGACAGCCAATGTGTATGTGAGATGTCATTCGCTGCCTGGGAGAGAGACAGCCAATGTGTATGGGATAAGTCATTGGTTCCCCGGGAGAGCGACAACCAATGTGTATGGGATATGTCACTGGCTACCTGGGAGAGCGACAGCCAATGTGTATGGGATATGTAATTGGCTACCTGGGAGGGAGACAGCCAATGTGTATGGGATATGTAATTGGCTACCTGGGAGGGAGACAGCCAATGTGTATGGGATATGTCACTGGCTACCTGGGAGAGAGACAGCCAATGTGTATGGGATATGTCACTGGCTACCTGGGAGAGAGACAGCCAATGTGTATGGGATATGTAATTGGCTACCTGGGAGGGAGACAGCCAATGTGTATGGGATATGTCACTGGCTACCTGGGAGAGAGACAGCCAATGTGTATGGGATATGTCACTGGCTACCTGGGAGGGAGACAGCCAATGTGTATGGGATATGTCACTGGCTACCTGGGAGAGCGACAGCCAATGTGTATGGGATATGTCACTGGCTACCTGGGAGAGAGACAGCCAATGTGTATGGGATATGTCACTGGCTACCTGGGAGAGAGACAGCCAATGTGTATGGAATATGTCACTGGCTACCTGGGAGGGAGACAGCCAATGTGTATGGGATATGTTATTGGCAGTTAAAGGGTAAAACACATGTCTCTGTATATCATCAGCGCTCCCCAGTACGATCGCCCACAATGTGCAGTAAATAGATATAAATGTTGATATTGTAAATATATTATATTTGCATGAATTAGAAACGCACATTAACCGGTTTCAGGAAATAAAGATCAATGCGAGTGGATGACAAAAATTACACCAAATATGCAGAAATAATGGGACTTTGGTTGGTGAGTAGTGTGGGGGCAGTACCAACAAATCTTCCTAACCCCCCCTTCCCGGGCATCAGCCGAATTTGGCAGCGGCGCCCCCTTCCCTCAGGAGATCCGTTTCATTAGCAGCACAATATAAGTACTCGCAGATA